CATGTGTACAGCTATGTACATTTTTATATATAATAAAAAAACACGATCGCGCCTCGCGCGTGTTCGCGTGAAATAAGTAAAGTTATTGAATAAACTTACGTGTGTTCTTTTTTCATCACTGTTTACGTGTATTCGGATATATATCATTAAGTACAATTACGATACTACGGAATGAAACGCGAGTAAATAACGTACAGTCTGGGGCATATTTTAGGAGGCAAGGACTCAACGATCAATGAACGTCAATGGCAATCTTTTACAGAATCGTCATACGCTGCTCTGTCTCATCGTCACGTTATCTAAATTTCTCTTGATGCTCTCCAGCTCGTTCATATCAGATACCGAGGACTCGCATTTGTATACAACTAACGAATGATAGAAGTGAACGGCGAAGGCAATGAACACTATAAGGACCGGGATAACTATAATCGTACTGGCAGTGGCGGCTGTGAACGAGTAATCCCAGAATTTCACCCAGCACAGTATAGCCACCTCCACTAAGAACAAAAATAATCCTAACACCGTAGAAAATGCCCAAGCCAACTCGATGAAGCCGCGCATTCTCTCATGAGGAGATTCCGTGACAAGCCGAGATACCTGAAGTTTACTGATGGCCTCGATATTGGGCAACAAATACGTGCTTATCATTAAAGCAAAGATGTGTACTGATACTAAGACGGTTGTGCAAACAGCGAACATCACAAACAGCCACTCCGGCACCGCGGTTGGCTCATTTATTTGCAGCTCAACCATAGCTACCTGGAAAGATAAAAAAAAAAGCAAATGAAAGTTACATCGGATTTTATTACCGGCCAATAAAAACAAGTATCTTCCGAGAAATGTTTCTGTCAACTGATTTATACGATTTGTACGTGCGATTACGAATGAGATCACAGATTCGACGCTATTTGCGAAACCCATTGTAAAATCAATTATGTCTACGTCAAGCCGAGGTGTATTGTTAAAGAAAGTGATATTTGTCTTATGTAATCATAGACGAGACTGAAGATTACACGGAATTGTCGTCCACTTCTGTCTAATGATTTTCAGGAAACGTTGTGTAACCCGTCGTGGATTTTCTGATTATACAAACACAGATTTTCTTGAAATATTTACTCGCTAGAATGTTCAGTAACACGCATTTTGAAATTTGTTATAATGGAATTCCCCCTTCTGTCGCGAAAATTCACTGATTAAAATCAATACACGTTTCTGTTGTCGGATCGATGTCTAATATTTGTGCGCATCGACAATTAGGATCATCAAGGGCCACGTGTGGACGGTTAATAGCTTAATTAATCACCACTGCGTAAACAGTCGTCCGAGGAATTTTAATAGACGATTATATACTACGACGAGAATGTGATGCTCACCATAGCGAAACCGCTTAATAATTCTGACGTTGTTGCAGTTGCTTTCAATTTAGCTCTGCTCATGTGAAGTCTCCTCCATGAGAGACCCTCAGGACCATCTTGTTCTTCCGTCTGCTGTGAGGAAGATGTTGGAGGCACAGGTGGCCCCACACACGTACAACAACATGTGTATGGCATATTATTTACCGAGGTATGACTATTTGATAATGGGAAACTACCCATAGATCTCATATCTAAAGCTACATAACGACTATTCCTGTTCCTTGGCGATAGAACTAATTCACTCTGAGACGGGCATAAGGAGGAGTTCTTGGAGTAACAGGGATAACCGGATTCGCTCGCCTGTCTGGGCAAATAAGCCAGAGAAGTCGGCTTGATTCTTTGTGTACCGTAAGACAATTGGATGAGATCAATCTGAGTCGCTTTGCTCGATTTACTGGCTATTTCTTCGGTGCTCCTCTGGATGGAAACCGTGTTGCCCTTGCTATACCTCTCGTCCGATGTTTTTTCGTCCTGCATCAAAATACTGTTCCTGTTTGGAGACTCTTTTTCAGCTAGATTATTGTTCGGCATAATTTCTTATTTATCTCTCGTTTCCTGTTTCGCTAAACTCCCCGTATCGTCTGTTACAAATGCTGTTTGCCACCTCGTCGCAAAACCAAGTCAAAGAATCCTTACACCGTTTTCACGAACGTCCATCGTTATCATTGTTTCCTTTCCAATGGATTGAGTCACAGCAACGTGCATACATTTACACAATCACCGCGCGACTACCGTGCATTTCAGTTCTTCCACCGCATTCCATATCTGTTGCCCGATCACCGCCGAATTTAGGATTCTTCCTGCAATCAGCGAATTAAACGAAACGTAGAGAGCCCATATCGAATCGAACGATCACTTGTCGATACCATACTATGTACTCTCACGACACTGAACTGTTAATTACATCCGTTCCGGGTGGCAGGCGCGCACACATTTCCCAAGACATTATTTAGAAAGCCATTAATGCGCAAACGGAGCGGTGCTCGTTTCGCAGGGCGAGCAGGACCAGGGAGCAAGCAGCCGCGAGTCTCTATGGTCGAATACATACTAATCGAAACGCGGCGGTTGCATCGCCGTTCAAGCACACATGACGTATTCGTCTGAATCATAACAATAGTATTAATTGCCTCGGAACCATATCGGCTACATAATAACCGGCTACACGGCCTTAACATACGTGAGCTCGCTCTGTGTCTTGTACGTCTTTACTTTCTCACGTGTCTCCACTGAGAGATGCGACTACGGGCAATGACGCTTGTTTTTTGCCGTTGCAATGGTGATACCGGTAAGCGAGGGAGTATCTGGCCAGGTATCGAGACGCTACCGTGTACCACCGGCACAACAATGTAATTAATCACGCCGCAAAAAGGGAAATCCCTCCTCGTAATTGTCACGTAGCGCGCAGTTGACCACTCATTTTATATCTTATTTTTAAATGGAAGTTTATTTGTCTCGATCATCAGGGTGATTTGTTTTCTGTTCAATCATCCTCTCCTTGACACAATTAAAAGTTATTCGACGTAGAGGCGTACATGTAAATAGTTCGAGTGATTTACAATTAGAAATATTGGTTCGTTCGAGCGATAATTAATTATATAACTCACTTTGGATATTTATATATAGCCGCGGTACTCGATTTTACTGTTAGAATTTTCCTATAACGAAAAAATATTTCAGAGGAATTTTAAAATTCGTTGGAATCAATTATATGAGATGTGCATTTTATGCTTGCAAATGGCACGACGTATATTTTTCGCGTGTTTGTATGCAGATAAGTGATGTATTATAAAAGTGGATTCACAGAAACGCGAGGCAACCGAGAATCACCGTGGAAAATCCACTTTCGATCCTGACTACACGGCGAAGGATGAGACGGGAACTTTATTTATGAAAGGTTATTCTTGAGGAAACGCATACGAACCGATACGATCGTCATTGAGTTGTGAACGAACGACAGCTGATATCAATCAGGCTACGAAGTGCATTAATTGTATTTTCAATTTCCATATCATTCAAATAAAAGGTCGTTTATACCAATTGACCATTTTACACAGTTCAAAATTATTCCATGGTTACTATGTATTTCTTTATTTGTATTCTGTGCAGCAGGTGAACGACGATGCAGGACAGGTTTCAAGGAGTCGTGCGTAAATTTGTGCCATCGACGATTTACAAGAAAAGTTTTATCTATTCATGGCCTCATTTGCATAATTGTACGCTCAAAGTTAGCGTGAACTAGACGAGCTGGAAAAACCTAATTGGATTATTTTTATTTTTTTCAAAAGGATCAATATATTTCTAAATATATTTTAAGAAATGATTATTGAATATATTTATTTGTCGATGAGGAAATAGTGTTTGTAATTAAAAGATGTAAGGTTGCATATATTTCAAAGTTAGCGAGAATTAATCGAGTTGGAAGAATCCTGATTAGATTATTTTCACTTTCTATGCGAGGTTTAATATCTTTATCAATATCTTTCTACAAATACTTTTCGAATTTTTTTGAAGATAAAAGAATGATGTTTATAAGTAAGAGAAATAAGATTGGAGATTTATATTATCTTGAGTCAACTGTTTCTAGGAAGGTTTACGGAGCCGAGACTGAGGCCTGAATAAAAGGAGAATAATGATAGACGGAGCAATTTTTTCTTATTTCACGCACCGAACTTTCACAGCTAAACAGGTTTTATACTACTGTCAAATTAAGATCCAGCAGGTATATTTTCGGTTCTATCCATGACAAAAACTTAAAGTATACAATTAACGTTATAACGTCATGTCTCTTATACAGGATGTTCATGCAGATATTTCTATTGTAGTAAAAATGACAATGCATAATTTTTGATTGATGACTGTAATTTGCGAAGAATGTTGTTATTTCCGACTTTTCCTTATTTTAAAATATCGATGAAAGATAATGTTAAGAAATTACTCAAATCTGAGTTTTTTACAAAATAAAATTACAATTAATTCGTAGAATGAATAATTTTTTTGAGTTTACAGCGAGATAACATAATTCTCTTTTGCAGTCTTGCGAGTGTGGTTGCATTTTCTAAGGCGCCAGTGATGTGTATTATTGCGCATTTAACAACACGTGTTTTCTTTACACTTGTCAGATACTTATACATTCTCAAAGTATTCTAAAGTTGCCAAATTATATTTATAATACTATAAAAATATATTATCTCTGAACCAAAAGTTCTATTTGAAGGCTTCGTCAAAAGTTTACGAAGCTGTAAAACGATATTTTGTATTTTTAAACTACTGTGAATCAAATCAAAAATATTCAAAGAGCTAATTATTCATTAAACTGGTACCATCTTTAACATTTATTATACATTTAAGATGGCTATTCATACTGCGTACTAATTTTTTATTAGATATATGTTTGCAATAAATATTTTGTAACTCTTATATACATTTTCAGATTGGTTCCAAATTTTACCAATTATAGTTATAACAATCGTGTTTCATTAGATGAATTTTCAATTTTTTATAAGTTTTGTCTACACACGAGAATATTCGAAAGTTTTGTAAAAACATATTTCGCCGCGATGAGTTCGCGCATGCGCGAACATCTTACTACAGGTCAAGTTCGTAGTTTAAAGGCTTAGAATCCATGCGTATGGTTAAGTAAAGCAGTGAATGAGTATTATTGTTTTGCGGTGAAGTTGATATTGAAATTTATGTTTACAAAGGATTCCTAGAAACTCTTGCGTGGATTTACACAGTGTAGATACAGTCACGCGGATTATTTATTAAATACTATATCGACCATAGGTACCACCATCTGTTCTATCAAACCTATCGTGACATTTCGAGACGAAAACAAACAATTAGTTCTGTGCGATCTTTCTCGAATAGCGTGTCGCGTATTATAGAGTGTATGTTGCAGATAAATATATCGTTGGGAGTAATATTTCAATTTCCATCACTCTCGGTTTAGCACGCATTTACGTATCGTTATACGCATTACAGTAAGTGCCGTGCATTTCCTGATTAACGGCAAGTGAACAGTAGAGGTTAGCGTCTGAAAAATAGTTCAAGGATTCGCATTGTGTGACGAAGTGTCTTCTAACGTATTTTTTCATACACTCTTTTTTCACGAGACTTGCGCCAAAAACGTATATGTTACACAACGCCGATGCTTTTGTGAGATTCTTCATAAGCACTGCCTGTGAAGACGTACACTCGAAGGCCAAAGCACGTTCTCTTGAGTTCTCGGTGGTTCCAAATGACAGTAGGCAATTTACTATTTACAAATTTTACATATTGATTTAATCAAATCCAAATAAAATACTCTATGAAGAAAGCATTTTATTTTCATTCAGAATTCCGTTGAACTTGTCAATATGATATTTACATACGAAAACGATCCAAAGCTACTACCCATCGTAAATACTGTTATTTTTGTAACAGATAAAATTGAATATTCGAGGAATTATTATGTTATAAATTTTTGAAAGCAAATTGTTGTACTTGAAATTGTTTGTTGATTATAGTTAATACTTAAAAGTATGCAGCAGTATCTAAATAGTATGAAATCTATTTTCCTACTCTGGTTCAGAATGCAATGGGAGGAACGAATCTCCATACACCTCCATCCATATTTCAACATATGATGAGTCAGCAAAATACATCACAACAACCAGAGACATGGATGCAAATGCCACAGGTGCCGCCAATGTCTATACCATGGAGTGTACCATCTCTCCAACAACCAGAATTAGTCAGATTTACCGGGGGACCAAGTTTCGAATCAGTTCTTCATCAGAAGAGAAAACTTGAGACCTGCGATCTGCTAGATATGTAAGTAATTTATATAATGGTATATATTATAGAAAAACCTTTCTATTTTTTCAATTTGATATGTAATGGATGATATAATGTAATGGATGATTACAGGAGACAAACGAAACAGTTTATAACAGAAGAAAAAATGGCTGCACATTTTAAAAGTTTACATATTAGTTCCAATTATCAACAGTCTTCAGTGCCATCAACTTCAACAGCTGACTCACAACCAGTTAATCCTAGGGAGTTGAATATGGAACTAGAATTGGATGCAGCTAATGCAGATCAAATCAAAACTGGACCCAGGCTAGTTCTTTCAGAGGAACTGAAGAGAATCCAACAAGAACCAATCCTTCCAAATTCCTTGTTATCCAAATTGTGAGTATACATATTTTAATTAAATTAATCTAAATTAAATCAAATATTTTGTTTCTCTCATTATGATGCAATTTCTGTTAGTAAATAAGATAAAGTGTGAAGGTTTACAGTTTTTCTCTTTCAGGGAAAGGCCCTCCATGGCTTTAGTCCTTTGGGAACCACCGAGCAAGCATCTTCGTATATTTCCAACTAGAGATACACCAACTCCGATTCCTAATGCGTCCGACGATAACAATAACAACAATAATAACAACAATAATAATAATAACGAAGCGATTGCTGATCTGAATCAGACGATATCGAGCAATTCATCAATTTTCGAGCCAATGGAATTATGAAGGCAATTCGTTAGTAAGTTACTTTTACATCTTTGTATTTCGTTAGCAAACGAAGAACGCGATATCGAGTCGTATTATGTACGAAAGTTAAAAGAAACGAAAGTTATACATTATATTTTTTATCTGACATTACATGTTTGTGTAAGGTTGTGCGAGATATATGGAATGAAGCCTTTCTATTAAATAGAACTATTCTCTACTAGTTACCTAATTATTTAGTTATTTGAGACATATGTACGTATCAATTATTATATAAACATAAAAGCTAAAGATCAAGTTCCTTTCATATAATATGATTTGTGTGTGAAAATTGATTAAAGATAAAAAGAAATATAAAAATGGGATTCTTTAATAAATACGTTCATGGGTTTAATGTGAAACTCAGTATTACTGTAATTATTATTAACACAGCATAATTGTATGATTATTATTAATTTTACGTTATCATTTGTGCTTTCTTGTGTATGCAGTATGTTGCGTTTGATTGCGATTAAAATTGTAGTATGATAAACATGCAATACATATAAAAAAGAAAAAGAAAATAAAAAACATAAAAGAATGCGCAAAAACAGGGATAAAATAGAAAAAAAGATTATTCGTAATAAGGTAGCTTTATTTCTACACTATGTGTATGTTACACATATATAATATTAAGGTTGTGTGAAATACAATTCAATTTACTGTATGGGTGATACGTAGATCGTTTGTCGTGTGAATGAATTTACTGTGTTTCTGAATGTATGATGATTTTGCATAAAGATATGACAACATTTCATTAATATTGAGTTTTTCATTCATTTGTAATGAATGGAAAGTATGGAATGATAGGTATCGTTGAAGAATGAATCATTTTTACTCATTTTTACGATAACCCCATAAAATTTTCATTCTTTCCATGTAATTCCAGTTCAGAACTTGCGAAATTTAGGGTCTCTTTGAAAGTTTTCGCATCTTCCAAAGGTTCGCCATTAATTGCTGCCGCGGTAATCTTATCATCCAATATGGAAATGTGATTTCCTTCGATCTTGTGTATTTCTACTTTTCCGTGAGTTAACTGAACAAGAAAAATAGTTTCATTATATTCATTCACAAGTCAGCAACTAATATTGTTTAATATTAATAGATATTACCTTCTGCAAACCGTAATCTGAATTTGGAAGTATCACAGCTGGTGTCGTTGGTACCAGTAACGTGATAGGCGTTCTAAGAGGCGGTACAGAAGAAGGATCGTATTTATCTAACACACAGAGACGGTTATAAATAAATGATATAATTTTCTTTTGAGTTTCTGCCGAATAGATCTTATGAATTTCGTCGGTTGTGTATTTGGTTACTAGATCCAACTTTTCATTCCAATTACTACAATTTTTCAGCTTTAATGCGATCTATGAGAACGAATTAGTTATTAATTATTAATTAGACCTAAATTTTGTAGTAGCCGACTGGTACTGAAAAGATATTTCACCTCTGTGATGATTGGCGTTTTGATAACATTCAATATTTCAATCAGAAATGTATTTTGATATTCGTCTTCCGTAGGCGATGCAAGGTGCTCTGATTTTATGGCTTTCATATAATCGGGAGATCCGTCTATTAATATGAGTTGACCTATTAGTATGTAAGGTTCTAATCTCCTTGTTAATTCTATGGCTATCAGTGATCCATATGAATAACCAACGATTGTGAAATCTCTGCGACCTTTACTCCTTGCTAAAACATACTGAAAGAGAAAGAGGAATATTATATTTTTTTATACTGTGAAATCTTTCTTTTTTGTTAAAACATACTGGTAAAAGACGTTCAGCCATTTCTTCCACTGACTCATTAATGTTGTATATTCCTAATTGCAAACAAGTGGCAGGGAATTTTAATTTTGATGCTAATTCAGCGAAAATCGCAGCAGACCCTTCAATACCCGGTATAAGAAATATTTCATTTCTTTTTTCACCACATTTAACTGGAAGCTCTACGCAATACTGTCCATCTAGTATGGAAACATTCAAGGTCTTCATCAGCAATCTCATGCCAATCACTTTTTCTGTCTTTGTCGTTGTTTTTTTGATTTGTTTTGTTTGCTTCTTTGTATCTTTTGCAGACATTTCTACAAGCTTGGCAATGTTCAAGACTCTAATATCTTGTGCAGTTAGAAACACCTCAAAGTCTCTTTCTAGTGTCTGTTTGATCTCCACAGCCATCATGGAATCCATGCCCAGCTCAGCCAAAGAAGAATTTTGACTCACGGTCTTCATATCCTTTATATCTATAATAGAAGAATAATTTCATTGCATGAAATTTAACTACAAGTGAACTTACATGATACATATATAAAGAATACTTACTCATAATATTCATCACTGCTTCAAGAACATTACTGACTTCATTAGCACTAGGTACCTTCTCTGCAACCACCATGCTAGCCACAATTGGTCTATTCTGACACATGAACTTGTCTAATTCTTCTAAACACGAGGATATCTTCTGAGCTAAGGTTCCACCGATCACCAGCTGGTGTTTGTTCTCCAGCATCTCTGCAGCAAGACCCACATCCCCCACAGCGCCCCATTGAATGGCCATGCCAGGAAGACCTTGTTCCACTCTTCTTTCGCAAATCCTCTCTAACACTGCGTTTCCCATACCATAATTAGATTGACCAGCAGATCCTCTTCCACATGACAAAGAAGAAAACACCACAAAATGTCGAAGATTTGGACAAATCTTCCTAGAAAGTTCATCCAGCTTTTTGGTGATTCTGGCTTTGGGTTTCATGCTTTCTTCAAATGATTCCATAGTTTGGTTTACCATCAGACAGTCTTTCAACAGAGCTGCCAGGTTGAAGATACCATCCACAGGTGCCTGTTCTTCTGCTGATTTCAAGATAAACTCGCAGTCATCTGTTTTTGACGCGTCTACACCAGGAATTATAAGGATTTTCGCTCCATAGGATTTCCAGATATCTATCCTTAATTTCTGATAGCCTGTTTTGACTCCGTTTCGAGTAACTATTACCAGGTTCCTGGCACCGCGTAGGACTAACCAGTCTGCAAGTTCTAGACCTAATCCTCCTAAACCACCTATGATTACGTAACTCTTGCTACTCGTAGCGTTGAAGCGAGGGTAAGCAAGAATTGGTGTATTCAAAGGTGCTTTCTCATCTGCTATCTTAATCAGAATCTGTGAACAATTGGGTAATACTTATTTACGAGATATCAATTATAGGGAACAAATAATATTTATACCTTTCCAATGTGTTTGCCTGCTGCCATATACCTGAAAGCTTCTTCTAACTGGTTCTTTTCAAAACACTTTCTTACCAAAGGCTTGATACATTTTCGATTCACCTGGGCATTAAGAAAATGATGTACCTCTTCTCTTATATGAGGTAAGGTACCATGGATCATGGCATCGAGCATGATTCCATGAAAGCTAATCTCTTTCAAAAACACTTCCATTCCAAGTTGATTATTGACAGACATATCGAATTTACCGATTTCCAAGAAACGTCCACGATAACCTAGGCAACGAATCGATGCCTGGAGCTTGTCTTCAGCCAGGGAATTTAGAACTATGTCTACTCCCTTTCCATGTGTCTGTTTCATTATCATCTGTTCGAAGCTGGTATCTCTGGAATTTCCAATGTGATCATCATCTATACTGGGGAACGTTTCTCTGATATATTTCCGTTTTTCAGGTGTTCCTACTGTCGTGAACACTTCACATCCTTCAGCGAGGGCCACGTTGATAGCAGCTTGACCTACTGCACCGCTTCCACCGTGGATCAACACCTTCTCACCTTTCCTTAATTTTCCAAAGTAGTAAAAGGCGTAGAAAACCGTAAAGTAGGCAGACGGAACAGTTGCTGCGTCCTCCAGGGACCATTCGTCTGGTACTGGCCACAGGGTGAATTTATGGGGAGTAACCAGGTTTGATATACCCCTGAAGATGTAATTAATCTATCAAATTAGCAGAAGACCTATGTTACTGACGTGTAAGGTTCCGATATTTGAGGTATATCTTACTTGCTCTCAACAAAACCCATCACGCGTTTTCCATTAGAGTCGATTCCACTGAACTCAAACCCAATCAGGCAATCGCTCATTTCTCGTTTCTTCACTATAGTTTCCGCCATCAATTTTCCAGTGGCCAACATCACATCTCTGAAGTTCAACGAAGAGTATATTACTTTGATGATGTTATCCTGGCACTTTTCATTCGGTTGTATCCAACCCTCGAACCACTGGATGGAACTCAAATCTCCTCTGACCTATTGCATAACTCTTGTAAGTTTTGAAAGATTACAAATTTTTTGTTTTAAATAACAAGAAATATTTACGTACTCTTAAATTGGCATAGCCATGAGAAGTCAAAGTTGGCTGCAGCTCTGGATAAGGCAGGTGTTTGTAGGTTCCCCAGATTTTCCCTGGTCTTAAGACATTATAGCCAATGTCTATATCAAGCTGCTTGGAGTAGAATGGATCTTTCAATGAAAACTTGGGAGCGTTCTCGTCTTGGATTATCACAGTTTTCACGATCTCACCATTGGGCTCTCTTCTTAAACACTTAACTAATCCTAGGGCACCATTCTCCATATCTCCTTCTGCGACTAGTACCAATCTTACCGTGTCATTACTATTTTTATCTTTTTCATTGTTCAAGACTTTCTTCACATCTTCCAGCCAGGTGAATTCATTGTTGTTCACGTATATTACTTCTGTCTTCTGAGGTGGCTTCTCTGCTTTCTTCAGGAGCAACAGAGTCTGATTCTTGAAACTCTTCTCCAGTACAACATTCAGATCACAAACTTCAAGATAAGAGAAAGTATCTTTATTGACAACACTCTCTCGAAGCAGGATAAATCCATGACCCATTGTTGCAGCTAGAAGTTGGTCCAGAATGTCAGTCGTTTTATTGGATAGAATATTATGAGCAGCTGCTATGAAGACACTGGCATCCTCCGGTAATTTCTTTGGTGTTATTACTGTAATATTTTCAGGAAGCAATAACTTTTCGCCTCGTTCTGATTCTGCGGCAAGTGTCAAATTCGGACGAATCATGGGTATGTTACTTAATACTTTCATAAAGATTGGAGTGAGGGTTTCTTCAGTTGGTACTTTCTCCTCCTGATCGATCACTTCGAGGATCTTTGGCGTGTTTATAATGTGACTCTCCAACGCAAGCTGCGTAGACAAGATGATCATTTCTTCTAATGATGTTTGTGCTTTGTCACGATTGGCTATAAATTTATATTCTTCCAAAATGGGGACAGACGTTAATCTTCGATGCTGAATCGCGTTGGCCTTTATTCCATGGATTTCGATTCCGCCAGATACTACCACATCGTAGTCATTGTACACTGAGATTGGGATTTCTGTAAAACAAAGTTTTATTATTTATTATAACTCGTTACGACTCGGATGTTTATGCAGTTCTATATTTTTATATCGTAAGCGTTTCTTATCAGAGCGCCATCCGAGCTACTCGATAATATTGTACAAGTATTTCTAACGTTTCAACATTTGTTTAAACTTTTAAAATTACCATTATTATCTTCGCTAAGGTTCCGAATCGTTTCGTTATGAACTTTCACATCAATTACTAGCTTCCTAATAGCTGTTGGTACATAAAGCGCTCTGGTATCGAGATTCAATATCTTCATCTGTAACATATTATCCATAAACACGGCCCAGTTCTTCGTCCAAGCGATACGTCCCCTGGTTCCCTTGAGTGAAGCGCTCTTCAGCGAACGGAACGGTCCAGTATATTGGTAACCACGAAGTT